TGGGTGTGGGTCTCGCTATAGTTGTTCCCTGCATTGACACCCACACCCACACCCTTTTTCTTTGCTTTTCATTAAACAAAAAAAAAGAAAATATCCAAATAAAAATTTTTGTTTTGTAGAAACGACTATTTTTAAATTAAGCAAATATAATATTTACAATAGAAATGTCGACAAAAGTAATAGCAAGCAGAACTAGTATCACATGCCTATTTACGTAGTGGATGGTTCTCTTGTTATTGCATCAATTATTGATCTTGATACAATTTTTTATTTGAATATTTGTTTATTTATAGTTATTAGTTGAGCACCTGGTGTTAAACTTGTGGTAAAAACATTACTTTCATCATTACGAACGATTGATTATATTGTTGTTTTATGTTTTACTTTTTTTATTTTTATTATATTTAGTATACTTAACGTATTTTGTTTTTTCTATAAATCATAATCAATTCTATATTTTCCGTAAAATAAAAAAGATTCGATTTATTAGAAATATAATTTTGATTAATTTGTAAAAGAAAATTGAATATAGTTTCGTTGATGTCAATATTGTCTTTTTTATATTATGATCAATAAGTAAATAATTTAGTCCTAAGACAAGATGATCGAATATATTTTTATTTTAATCACAGAAAACAGTATTAGTTTATAAATAGATATGAAAAGTGATCAATAAATTTTTGACTGATATTTGTTGAATCTTTTGGAAATCTAAACAATTTGTGTTTAATATTTAACTAATAACAAAAATGAGAAGAGATTTTATATCAATAACTGAATAAATTCAATTTTTTTAATTCAAAACATTTAATTAGTTATATCGAATTTGAAAATGAAAATCGAAAACAAAAAAATCTTAATTCGAAAGTTAATAATAATAATATTGATTCTCTATATCGAAAATTTCTTATTGATTTAAATATATCGCTCGTAACTGTGTTAAGCTTTTATTTTCGATATTTTTCATTAGTTTCTATTAATATAAGATATAACGTCATATTATTTATAATGTATATTAATAATAATGAGAGATTAATATATTATTTATTTATTAAGTTATTCAATGGAAAGGTTTATTAGCTTAATAATATAACAAGATAACAACAATGTCAATCACTGGAAAAATTAACAATATAATTTTGATAATTTAGGTCAAGTATATTTTATTGAATAAATCTATATGAATATATATAACTAATGACATTATTTATATCATTATCACAAGATGGCTAGGTACAAATAATGTATAATAATATTGATGTTGTTGATGTTGATATACAATCAATAAGAAATTATAATGAAGCTAAATTAGTTTATTTCATATCATTTTTATTACTTGTTACTTTTTTTTTATAATGAATATTGTTACCAAGTCATTTGAATTTTTATTTAATGCCACCGGTATTCTTTTTCTTTTCAATTATTAAACATTTTATAGACTCTTGATTATTATAATTATGTATTTACAACTGCTTTTATTATTGAATCAATATCAAAGATTATTGCTCTTAGATCATTATGTTATTTTATAGATACGTATTTTATTAGAAAAGAAAAAAAGATTTATTTTTAATATAAATCAACTTTAGTTACATTAACAATAGGTGAAATGTTTTTAGACAAAAAATGAATAGTGGGCATATACTTTCTATTAATTCAACTCTTACATATGTTTTGAGAGTATTCAGAATTGCATGAGGTTAGATTCTTTTTCGATTCTTTTTATCGAAGATTTTATCATTCTTCTTACATTCTATTTGATCAATTTTTGAAAATTTCATACTTCTATTTTAATTAATAAATTCATAACGAATACATTTACAAAAACGACTTTCTTTGTAACAAATAAAAAAACTTTAAAATTTAAAAAAAATTGTTTTTCAACACTGAAGTCTCAGTTATTTACTCCTCGAAGAAACCATAAAGGATATTTGATAAGTAAGCAGTATATTGTACTAAGTTTTTTTATGTGTTTAACATCATTATAGATATACATATGAAGTAAATAGTTAGGAAAAAATTTGAAGAATTATTTAAATTTTTATGTCAAATATTTAAAAAAAAAAAGTTGAATTGAGAGAAGAATCTTGAATAGTTACAATAAAATAATTGAAGATATTTATCATTAAAATTTATTTAAACATTACAGAAAATTCTTTGTTATGAATTTTTGAAAACAAAACAAATATCTAAATGAAAATTTGAATTATTTGAAGATCTTTTTTCTTTTTCTTCATGTTTGCTGCACTTGATGTCGAATTATTTGGAAAATTAGAATTTAGTGAACAACATTCATGTACTGGACTTGATAAACATACCTTTTTTTAATAATTATTTCGTATTGTAACTGATAATAATTGGAATGGAATAATAAAAGTTAGACTTTTTTCTTTTTAATTATTATTTTTTAATATAAACAAGGATACATTTCGTCAAGATGATTCCTCACATGGTGGGAAAAAAATCATTTAATAATAGAATGTGGATGGATTGCTGTTTTAGTGAAAAAAAACTGATGTAATTTAATTAAATAAAATAAATATTAACAAATTTTAAATATTTATTTTAATTTAGAAATCAAATTGAATGATGTTTTATGATACGGAAATAGATAAAGAAATTGAACGAGTATTAGAAGCTGATGCATATGATAGAGATTATCTTGAACAACGATTAATTGATGATAAAGAACTTGATGAATACATATTTATATTTATATTTAGTTAAAAATAAAATAGATTATTTTCCAGTAACAAAACCCAATTTTACATTTCATTCAATAAGTTGAATAACGAAATGTTTAGAAAAAGGTTTGTCCAACATATATCATATAATAACAAGTTAATACTTGAATAGAGATAGTCAATAATTGATATTCAAAATAAACATAGATAAGAAAAGATTAATCTATTTGAGTTATTTCTATATTGATTAATAAAATAGATTAGATTCATTTCTTATGAAGAATTTCGAATTTCAATGTTTCTAGTTGCTGATATAATGTTTTCTAAGTAATAAAATGAGTACTGAATTGCATAATTATATTCAGTTTAAACACCGACTTAACACTTAAACTCGATTAGATCATTTTCTCATATTAAGAATTTGATTATTATTGTCGATAATATTTCTACATCATCAATTATTTTACAATAGAATTTTTTCTTTAAATAAATTTGTTTTATCATTTAAAATCTTACTGTTTAAGGTAAATCAATTGAAAAAGTAAATAATTCTTCATTATTAAATTCAACATCTTGAAACGTTAATTCGAAGATGGATGAAAAAATTATTTCTAATAAAAATGAAGAAAATTTATTATCAATAATATTTAATAAGAATGATAATAAAAAAAAGAATCATTTTCAACATCATTATTAGAAATTGTTACTTATCATTGTGTCTTTATTGCATATCAATCTTACTTCAAATTTTTCTTCTTTTGTTTTAATAGAAAAGTAAAAATTTTTGACTTGTTTTTTTTTCTAGAAAAAAGAAAAAAAGTTTTTACATATTGATATAAGATATTTTGATAAGTATACTAAGGAGAAACAAAATAATATAGCTTATCATAATAAATAAATCTGTGGGAAATATTTTCAATATTTAATTAAATATCATATTTCAATAAACATTTACATTTAATTAAAGAATAGAATATTAAGAATATCTATGTTCGTTTTTAATTAATCAAATCAATTCAAATAATATATTAATCTTCATATTAACTAATATCATACAAACAGATTCTCTCAAAAGAATACTGTTTCTCTACTATTATGAACGAAAATCTAATCAAGGAAGTTCAATGTATGCATATTAACTTGGCTTGTCAATTCGCAAGATCCCAAATGGGATACATCTATGGAGTACATAAGTTATTTTCAAATATCAAGGCTGCTCTACAAGAGAAACTGCGGAGAAAAGTGTAGCGTCTGTAAAAAGAGTTTGTATTGAAAGCTGTATTTCTGTGAGAAATAATCAAAAATGTTCATTTTTCACAAAGAGAGTGTCCATAATAAAGCAGCCTTCAGTATAAATCGACTTTGAGGAACAAAGCGAAAATGGCGAATTAAAATAAACGCTAACGATTCAAATTAAGTGGTTTAGATCTTTTTACATGAGTGGCAACTTCAGATGGTTAAGATTGAGAGAAAGGATCATATGATTTTCACATCAGAGCTGGTGTCGTAGTGTCTAGTTATATAAAAATTAATCAAACTGTTGTTATTTTCAATCATGTTTTATGCAAAAAGGCGACGTTTAGAAAAAGTTAACAAATTGTTCAAAGTTCAGTTCATTTCTTCTCAAATAAGAGTTTTGTTTTGAAATATACTACGAACTATGTATTTTCTTGCAACCTTCTAAGAAAAAGAAAATGTAGAAGTCTTTTTCACTGATGGCGTTAATGCAGATGTTAGTTTTTCGCAAAACAAAATATTTTCACATTCGTTTGCAGTTTTCTCGTTAAAAGTCATCATTTAAGTTTGGATTTCACCAAGAAAAGCAGCTAGCATCTCAATTTTATCTAATAATTTTTCTTTCGATGAAGACCACCAAGCGGAAATTCTTGATTTTTGAGAAAGAAATGAATCACTATCGTATCTGCTACGCTCAGCACTCCTTTGGGTTATCTAGCTGCATTTTAGCTGCTTTCAGGGGTTTGTGTGTGAAGAGTAGATACCTACACCCATACCCTTATGAATCTGTCTGAGAGTTCTTAGGCTTAATCATTATTGAAATGAACAATAGTAAAAAGAAATTAAACTATCATATCTATCTACTCTATAGGAAATATGAAATTAGGATTGAAATACGAGAAGATTACACATAGATAATCATCACGATGAGATATATTTGCTCATTATAATTGTTTCTCATAACATCAAAGCCACGACTAACAGATACTATGATAATTTACAATTCAAATAATATCTGACATGATTTAACTATAAATATGAAGAAAAAAATTATATTAATACTTTTCCCTAGAGGTAGAAATAGAGGATGAGATAGCTTCCAAAGTGTAAGGGTGTGGGTGTGATTTGGGTGAGAGTTTGGAATCTGAAGTTGAGTCTTCTCTTACTAGATATACTTACCTATTACAACATTCTGCACAGCATGACGATATCTGGCATCAAAATTAAAAAAGTTGATCGTCATATTATAGGATTCAATGAAATTGATTCAGTTAAGAACTGAGAGTTTCGACTGAAGATTCTATGGAACGAAATTCCTAAAATCCGGTAAACTTATTCAGTACTTTCTTTTTATGTCAGCACTCATTTCATACAAGTAATAATTATTCTAAATGACTACACCACTTCTTATAAACATCGAAACCATCTTCTAACTGCTATGACGTTCTTCTCAGCATTTTTTTAATCATACATGGAATAGAATACATCTATTGAAAATTGCTGGAAGCCATTATATAATGATTTCTATGTCGGCAGTATAGAGAACATACACCTAACTTCTATCTTTTTTGACAGTCATTCTTCTCTAACGTCAATAACTGTAAACGACGTGATAAAATCTATTTAAAGATCGGATTACTGTAAAACTCAGCATTGAAAATACATGATATAGCGTTTCAAGCGACAAGTTTTATTGATTTAACTTGTGTGCTATACTGATAATATATAAAACAGTAAAATGGTATTCAAAGACACAACTCACATCGTTAAAAATATACATTTACTTGATAATTGAACAGAGTCCGAGGTTACATGATGATGTTTACTTTTTGGTTTATGATGATTTTCTTGGTCATTAACAGGGCCTCAGGTAACGAGAAATTTCTTTCAATACATGATTTTGAAACGTAGCATTATTACTAATTTCACATAAGAGTTTAATTTATGAAAATTAGGAATATTTTCATACGTTCGAATATGATCTTGGGTATGGATGTAAGTAAGTACATATGTGAACTTTTCATACGATGAGTTTGTGACATTAAGATAAGAAGTGCATACAATTACAACAATCTATCGAATAATCAATTTTTGAACTTTGAAGAGCTATTAAGATATAAGAGAATGAAAAGAGGGGTTGCACATACACTAAAAAAGATGTATACTACGAACTTTAATATATCTTATAAGATATTGCACAGATAGATAAAACTTTTGTAATATTGCGGGATGTAATAAGTTTTATGTAAAAATATCACACATTTTCCTCACCAGAATGATTTCATAGATTATTTTCTAAAATTATTGAAGTCTAAAGATTATGAACTACTAGACTACTTTTCTTATCTTAACTGTAGCAAGAACAGATATTCACTAATGTGAAATTCAACTTATCAACTTAATTTTTCTATTAATCTGTTTATTTATTTAGAGAATAATGTTTATAAACAATAGATGGTAGGCATTACTTGATGCACTAGCTATAACGTTTAAGAATTTCCTACAAAAGAAAGAAGTTTATTCGAATATTCAATTTTGATGAAATTTTTCGTGATGATGTAGTTGGAGTTAAATATATCACAGTAAAATTTTCAGGTGCTGCACTGTATCATGCTCTTACAATTAAAGAAAGTCCACTCTGTTAAATTTCACAGCATCATATTGTATGTTGTTAATCAAACTTTTTATAAAAAACCTAATTTGAATAGTATTATCAGCATGAGCAGGATTTTCTCAGCTATGTTTTAATAAATTATAGATCAAAGAAGAAGAGCGTAAGTTTAGTATCAGCAATTCATAGTAGACTCAGTACGCAATTTTTATTAGTATTATTTATGATGTAAATCTTGATATCTAACTTAAAAGTTTTATGACACTTCTGTAAACAGTCATCTAGAATGATTGTTATTGTCCGATTTAGTTAGATAATATACGATTGCATATATTAAACAGAGAAAGCACATAAACCTATGATAATAATCAACAAAGTTCTGCTTGATTTTTAAGCTGCCTCATACAATCAACCTAATCTCAGTATTTGTGCATCATGGAGTAAAGTTGCGATGACACTTGCTGAAGAGAATTTAGTTGGACAAAAACCTGTTGGCCTTTTCATTGATGGTCAAGACACCGTTTACGTAGTTAATCGAGAAAGTGGCCAGATTTTGTTATGGTCAAATGGATCTTCAACTCCAACAATAACTATTTCGACAAATTTGACCAATATATGGAGTCTTTTTGTCACAATTGATGGTGACATTTATGCTGATAATGGCATTGAGAATGGTTACGTCAATAAATGGACACTCAATGGAACAAGAAATGGAATTGAAGTAAATATCCATGGTTGGTGTACAGGTCTTTTCGTCGGCATCAACTATCATTTATATTGTTCTTCGACTAATAACCATCATGTGATTACGATACCACTCAACAATGGCCAAACTGTACCGATAGTAGTGGCAGGCACAGGATGTTCTGGTCCTGTGCCTAATATGCTTGATCATCCACATGGTATTTTTGTCGATAATAAACTTAATTTATATGTAGCCGACACTGGTAATAATCGAATTCAATTTTTCGCACCTGGTAAAAAGAATGCTAAAACAATTGCTGGCTTTGGAGCAATTGTATACTTCATATTGAATAGGCCAACAGATATTGCACTCGATGCCGATGGCTATCTATATATTGTGGAAAGTGAAAATCATAGAATCATTCGATCAATTCCAAATGGCTTTAAATGTTTGGTAGGATGTGCTGGTGACAGTGGAAAAACATCAAGTCAACTGAATTATCCACAAACAATGACTTTTGACACAATGGGGAACATATTTGTGAGTGATTTCAACAATCACCGAGTTCAAAAATTCCAGTTAATAAAAAATTTATGCGGTATGTCTATTTCTATTATAGCTGAGTAACTAGGAAAATGTTAGACTGATTATTGTCAGCATTGTCATTGATAAGAAAAATCATAGAAGATAGCTAATACACTTTTGAGTGTACGAATCGATACAGTAAAGTACGATTAGCTATTTTTATGAAAGATTTTATTTTATTACTATCAGAAATACTTGACAATTGGTGAAATACTTGATAGAATAACTGAGTATGCATAAGTCGAGAAGAGTATGAGTTCAGAAGTTTCAATATTTATGCATGAAGGTGATGATTTTGTTAGAAAGCCCACGTTAGTTGCAATCATTATTATCAGTGTTGTAATCGAAAACATAAGAACAAAAGTCAAATTAGCAATCGTCTGGCAGTTTTGAAAAGAAATGAAATCATATTGATAAAAAACTGACTTCTTTTTTACAAATGATTGAATCCAAGAGTGAATCTGATCAGGTTTAGTCAGGTACGACAATTGAATCATAATGAATTATTTCATGTAATTCGAGTATCTAAACCCACGCCAACCAATAGAACGGTAACATCTTATAATATCATATGTCTGATCTTATTTGATATTATAAAATTCGATGCAAATCGGATGGAAAAATCATTGTTTCTAAATGCTTAAGCTAAATCGTATAGTAAGATTGTTGAAAGTTCGTGGTGCCTTATGAGATATCAATATAATTGTAAGCACAATAGACTCGTGAGGATGTTAGAGAGGATATTCCTACGCGTGGCATGTGATGGTCCTCTTCAACGATTCAACTAATCACATTCATTTCTGCAAGCTCACCACTATACTACATATACACATCGAGCAAGGTCACATTCATGTCGCACTTCTACACCCTCCACGTGCTTGAGAAGTCTTGTCGACTGGAAGTACAGCACAATGTGGTCATCTAAAATAGCTAGTCCGATGTTTCAGTAATATATGTAAACAAATTATTAGACATGCATGCAAACATACATAAGCACATTTTATAGATTATTTCATATCATCCTGCCTATAGTTGAGAAAAAAAAGTTATTTGTAACGCATCCACCAAACATATTTTTGCATCATAAATTGGTGATTTATAAAATAGAAGAGTGACCTGTACATATTTTCCTATAACAAGACACTTCGAATTGAAACCTACATTAATCGACTTTTTATCTTACAATTTATATTTGCCGAATATTTCAGCTTCAATGATTGAAATTATGCTAAGCACTTATATAAATATTGTTCCAAGTTGACATCAGAGCCATATGCTCACGCTATCAGTTGTGTTTCCTATTTTGTAAATATTTTTTAAACAAGGAAAAAACAACATGAGGTTTAAATTTCTTGATAGATCGACTTTGTGAAATCAGATGACTTAAGTTATATTTAGGCGCCTATTTTCTGTCATTGACTAGGTTTTTTACAGACTTCATTGAGAACGAGTACGTTATGAATTGAAATTCATAACATATTGAAAATCAATGTGAAAAACTTTGTCGACCTATGTGTTTCGCAGATTGCTTTAGTGGAGATACTCCTTACAATACACTCGAAAGAATCAAATCTTTTACAAAATCATTACTAGAAGACAATAGAAGAAACTACTGAAAAGGAAAAAATGACGTTTCAGTTAAATTTATTTTTGAATTGTACTGTGTGGGATGCATTAGTTGAACTGACCATCAAAAACAAAAAGGTTCTATGCAAAAGTTCGAAACACATACCGGTTGATTCAGTTTTTTATCTTATACCCCAATATTATCAATTTTCACTCAAATCGTACTTTTTCTAAATGAAGTATACTAAATGTCGTTCAAAAATGCAAAAAAAACTGATACCCAAATAGAGTTTAAGCTTTTTTATTAAAGAAACTTCGGTAATATAAAGACTTCAGACTATACAGTTTTGCAACCGTCTTTCAAAATGTGAGAAACCAGCAAAATCACTGATATAAGTATAGATTTGTGATGCTTGTTTGTAACTAAACTGGTATGAGAACTCAGCAATATTGCAACCGTCTAAACTGAAATGGCGCCAAGAATAAATTGTGGATAAGTACTTTATTGATGTAGTTTTCAATTAGAAATATCTTACAATGGGAAGAATATATGGAGCTTAGTCGCCTTTGTGTGAATCATCGGTTTTCAGTAAAGATGCATCTAGATGCTTCAGTAACAGTTTTCTCTTTTTACTCAACAATTCATGATGAAATTCTTCATAAAGCAAGTCAGAAGTGGATGGGGAAACGCCAGATGGTTGAAAATTGGGTATTATTCACGCCTCTCATTTATTGTTTGTGACTTTAATCTTCTGATTCACACAAATATTATTCTTCCTCCAGGAAGAAGAATTTCATTTTATACCAGTTGAAAAACCCTATGCGTTATGAGTATAAAAGAGAAAGCGAAGAAATATTGATACTAATGCGTTTTTTTGTAATGACGAGAAGTACTTTATCAAAGACTTCTTGATATTTTTCGATTCGTTTTGGTTTTTGAGATTTGTTGCATGCTGACATTGCTTAATGATCTTCGCCTCCATTGCATTCTTAAGTTCCTTAGTATCCTTCGGTTATTTCAATTCCTTGGATGTGGGTATGGGAGTAGATAGAAGTAAATGTGCCTGCGGCTGTGTGAGTCTGTATCTGGATGAAAGTTTGAGTACTCCTTTTTTTCGAACCCATACCGTTCTTATAATTTCTGTTGGAATCCAATAAGTAGTTGTGTACTAAACTTGAAATGAACCAATTGATAGGGTATTTTATTTGTTAATTATCTCTTTTTTTGAGGATCAAACAATTTTTTCCTATCCGAATATATATGATGTGAGTATCTTTTAAGAAAATATCATAGTTGATTATTCAGATTGTTCACTGATTGAAAGTTTGAATTTTTGATAAATTAGAAAGGAATTTTCAAACTTGCATTTACATTACATCCGTATATAT